TCCTAAAACCTCTGCTCGTACTACTTCATATTATTACTAAATAAATTTCAATTATATTTTATTTTATATTCTAAATAATAACTTTTGAATAATTATAATTTTATATTTTACATTTTTCATTGAAAAAAAAAAAACAAAATGAAACAAATATTTAAATGTATTTGGAATATTTGCATAGAACATTTTGTGTTTCTTAAAATGCTAAAAAATATAAAATATAATAATTATAATAATCGTAAAATAATATCTTTTAAGAAAGAGTTAAAAAAAAATGTAAATTTTGTTGACTCCATTGAAGAAAAGAAAAAAGATAAAAAAAAAAAGCTATAGAATGTAAATCGAGTGTGTACAAATATAAATCATCCTTGGATGATCACATTGTATTCAAATGTATAATATAATATACAACGATGTTCATGTTGAACGTAATATTTTTTTCTAAGGAATTGAAATGTGGGGTTGGATAAGGGGTGACGCTTTTTATCGTATAAATATGCATCCTTCTTTTTTTTTTTTCTTTATTCTTTATAGATAAGCTTTGTGTATAAAATGCTGATACGAAATTTGTCCACGGTGATATTGTATTTTAGATTTGATTCACGTATACATATATATATATATATATAAATGTATTGTTAAAAGTTTTATTCATAACTTACATTCTTATAATATATCTCAGCACGATTTCAAATGGAAAAAGAAAATATATATATATTTTTTTTTTACAATTTAATTCAAGAAAAAAGATATATATATATAAGTGAGGGGGTTGAAAAGTTTCAAACTTAACACACGAGAAATGGGGTTGAAAGATTTTGTACTCGACACGCAAGGGTGGATTGTAAAATTTTTGTTAACTTTTACGATTATCATATTGTAACCCCCTTCTATTCCATAAATCTGTGTAGTATTAATATTTTAAAAATAAAATCCCTGTTCTGTGAATTTGGTTCTTTTTGTTGTTTGATGTAAAAATATTTGAAATTAATTATTGGCTAAAGCAAAATTCTTTGTTTCAATTATTAATATTAAAAATCAATGTATTCCAAAAAAAAACACACACACACACACGAGGTATATATAAATAATTTTTAACGATTTAATAACTTTGATTAAAAAAATTTCCCAAGGTGAATCTCGATGAAATGAAAAGCCGTGTTTAAAAAAAGAAAAAAAAAACGAATATTAAAAAAAGTAAAAAAAAAAATAATAAGAAACTCTACCAACATCTCTCGTTGCAGTTCAACCAGTCGATATTTAATAAACAATATTTGTATGGAAAATAAAGAAAAGAAAAGAAAAGAAAAGAAAGATCGATGGATCGATCGACCTATCGCGTGGGAATAACATTCTTTGTTATTTTACCCTGGTGTGAAAGATAAAAGGACCCAGAAGTCGCGCAAACAAAAAGGAAAATGGCATTAATCGATTTTACTTTAAGCTGACGTTTTACGTAAATACACACATGCACGTACATACACATAGTTGAACACTTATACATACAATAACATCCTTTTGTACGTATATATGTATATATAAGTGCACACACACACACACGTATTACATTTACATACATCGTATAAAACAAATTAACGGGCATTGAAAATATTTGTGATATTGGTTTTGTTTTTTAAATTTTTTTTTTTTTATACGAAAACTCAAACCATAATCGTTGAACTATGTTGAATATACAAATGTTCTTGTACATACTATATTAATATCAATTTTGATTTCATGTATAGGATTGTATTTTTTTAATAAAAATTCTTCACCCGAAGTATAATTTTTATAATTGTTTTAATTACAGATATTTTATAATAAATATATAAAATATATATATTTTTTTTTCAATTAAAAATGTAAAAAATAAAATTATAGTCATTCAAAAGTTATTATTTAGAATATAAAATAAAGTATAATTGAAATTTATTACTATTAATATTAAGTAGTACAAGCAAAGGTTTTAGGAAACTCAAAATGTTCTATGCAAATGCACTTAAATATTTGTTTTATTTCTTTTTTTCAATTAAAAATGTAAAATATAAAATTATAGTCATTCAAAAGTTATTATTTAGAATATAAAATAAAGTATAATTGAAATTTATTGGTATTTATATTAAGTAGTACGAACAGAGAATACTTTTTATATTATCAGACATCTTTAAGTAGTATAAGCAAAAGTATTCTCATTATATACGATCAGACATTTACAAATTACTACAATTAACTTGACTTAACAAAATGAATGATTCTAATTAAATATTATTATTTCAATCTAATTAATCAAAACCATCATGAAATATACCATAGAACTTGTTTACGTTGAATTATTATACTACCATTGATCATCAATCATAAACCAGTTATTATTTCTTTTTTATATTATTTGTACTACTGAAATCTTTGTAATAAGAAGAAAAAAGAAAAACACAACGTCGCATGATTCGGCCTAATCATAAGAAAATTTCGATGGTTCACATTTCTACCCTTAATAGTCGATAATCCGCGTGAACCAATGGGGTTACTAACCTGAAAAACATCGCATTTCGTGAGTTTTGTATATGTGTATGTGTATGTGTATGTGTATGTGTGTATATACATTCGTATAGTTGAAGTTAGAAAGAACTAACGAAACATTTGTCCCCCTTAAAACCCCACCCCCTTCTACCCCGCACCCTTCTACCAACTTTTTTACTTCTTATCAAACATCGACCCGATTAATCCCTTCGTGTATAATTCTCGTTGTACTTTTAACCATTTAAGAACGATTCTTATGGAAATTGTAGGGTTACAATAGCTGTTAATTACATCAGCATCGGTTAAGAACAAAAATACATTTTTTTAATCTTCTTTTTGTTCTATTTGTTTAACATATTTACGTTTCTTTAAATAGAAACACATATGTGTATATATATTGTACTTTGTCTTTGAAAAAATTTAATTAGAAATAGGAAAAGAAAAAAAATATAGAAAACAAATATTTATATAAAATATTATTTGAATTGTTAAATAATTGTAATTAAGAATATTTCAGTACAGTGATTTTAATTATATTAATTTTTTAATTATATAATTATGAGACATTATAAAAATATATAATCTATATGTATCTATTATTTATATAATCATCTATTTATAATCGTATGTATATTAATATATACTACTATAGTATATAGCATAGTAAGTGTAGTATAGTAATATATAGTATTATATAGTATATGGTATATATATTATAAGTATTAGTATTAATATTATATAGTATAATATTATATAGTATTAGTATTGTATAGTAGTAGTATATATAGTAATACTAATATAATGTAATATAGTAATACTAATATATAATATAAAATATATATATATATTAATATATTAGTAGTATTAGTACATATATTTTTTACTAATATATATTATAATATATATATATTAATAATAATATATAGTTTATATTATACAATTATATATAATATATATTAATATATACATACAATTATATAAATAGATGATTATAAAAATTATTATAAAAATATATAATTTTATATATAAATGTTCAGATTATTTTTTTATTTTTTAGTGTTTGCATAAACGGTTAATAAGAAGAAGATATAAGCACGCAAATCGATAATATGCTGATGCTTTATGAAAGAAAGTTTACATAATTGAATGTGCGAATATAGTAATCGTGAACTCTCACATTGATATCTTACCACCTTATAGAGACGTGTGTAGTACTACGATCGATTTTAATAATCTTTATTCGATTTGTATAATGTCGATTGAATATATTTTTAAATGACTCAATGTTTCTCATTTCAATTAGTTTATATTATTTATATAGATAAATATTTTGAAAATATTTTTATCAATGTAATTCAATTTTTATCGAATATCATAAAAAAATATGAATGATATTTAATGCACATTGATTTTAATTAAAAAAAAAATATTTCCAATTCCGTAAATATGATAAAAACAAAAATTAAATAACAATTATTTAAATATTTAAAAAATTGTAATAGTTATAAATATTTAAAAGGAATGCATGACATTTGAAAAAATGAAATTTTTCGAAGTTAATATCAATAAACACGAGAATGAAATTCCATAATTTTCTAATTAAAAAAAAAAAAAAAAAATAGATCATTAATTCTCGATGATTGTTGAGAAAAAAAAAAAAAAAAAAAAAGAAAGGAAAAATGTTTCAAAAAGGTGGGCCAATTTTGATGGAAAAAAAAAAAAAAAATCGGGAAATACGCGTTGTCAAAGTAAAAATTATCCATCATTCTCTCGGTTATGGGAAAGCACGAAGGTGTAATTAGTCGCAGGGTGTGCCTGTCTGTTTCACCCACCCTCATCCACCTCTCCTATTTCCTTTTCCTGAGGGTGAAATTACGAGACACACAAAGGATATCTATCTTTGCATAGTTCTTCTCTTTCTTTTGTTTATGACATTCAAGATCAGCTGTTTATATCGTACGTATTTTTCTTGATTTGTTCAATTTCACGAGAAGGGATGAAAGTAGTAAAAACGTTAAACTAGTCAGACGAGACTATTTAATTGAATTTTTGATTCTAATTGTTTTAACATTTGTTTATTTGAGTTTTGATTGGTAGAAAGATGGATTGTTAAAGGAAAATGTTTTAATTGCACGTTCGTTTTGAATTTTCATTTGAAAAATGAATTCTTTAAATTTTTATTTTTATTTAAATTTTATAATTATTCGTAAAAAAAAAAATAGAAATTTGTATAAATATATATTCGTTTATTATTTTACATTAAATTTATGTCTGTGTAAATAAAACTATTTACAAATGTATTTTAAATATTAAAAAAAAAAAAAAAATAAATGAAACATCAATCCAATGGTTTAAAAATGATGATGAAAAAACTTAATGAAAACAATTGTAAAATTAAATTGAATTTCAATCTGTAAACGAATACTTCAATTTATGTAAATAGAAATGAGTACTGATGAAAAATAATTCTCGAAAGTTTTTACCTGTTGCAATGAAACTCGAGAGGTAGAAGAAGATAGTTGGTCGATTGGATGTAAATGTCCGACGAGTTCTTGTTAATGGTTAACGATTTCTTCTTTTTTTCTTTTTTTTTTTTTTATTTAAAGAACGTTTTTTCACATTTTTTTAAATATATATAATGCATTTTAAATATATCATATCCTCTTCTTTATGAAAAAAAGTTTCTTCAAAAATGAATTGTTCAATTCACGTGTCCAAATATAATCATTGATTGTTAATAACAACAACAACACACAATTATTAATAAATTAAAACAAATGAAATCCTTCGAATGATCATCCTAAAGAGACACACGTGTTTCCATCGACGCGCGTGTGTGTGTGTATGTGTATGTGTTTGACAGCTCTCTGTTTATCGGCATGCGTGATATGTTTTTAACGTACACGCATTAAAATAAAATGAAACGAGGAAAGAAAGGGAAGAAAAGAAAAAGGAAAAAACTAATAACGAGAAATGAAAAAGGAAGGAAGTAAAGGAAAAGAAAGGGAAGGAAGGGCACCTTATCCTTTCTCCCTTACTCATTCAACAATCCTTCAGTTCCTCCTGTTCCTGTTGTTCCTGCGTATTCCGTCTTTGGTCACGCACGCACCAATCACGACAGACGACGACGATACCAATAATAATAATAATAATAATAATTATAATAATAATATTAATGACGATCACGAGGTATATAAATAAAGAATTATATACTCGTCCTATTTATTTAAAAAAAAAATATATATATATATATATATAGAAATATGAGGAAAAATTGAGCGACAACCGCAAACGCGCGCGAGGGGTGAGAAATCGGTGCGGAAGAGAGAGAGAGAGAGAGGGAGAGAAAGAGGAGGGAATAAAAAAATTGACGGACGAGGACGATGGACGAGAGGTTACGAACGGGCACGCGCGGACGAGAGGTTACCGTAAACGTACCGGCGAGACACCACGTAGCCTTTTATACCGAAGAGAATAAAGAGGAGACTATCGAAGAGAACTACTCGTCCTGCGCCTCGACGGAACAGCTCCTGTTCGAGGTAACACGCGCGCCTCGTACTACTGCGCATACACCGCCGCGCATACTGACCCCCTATTCGTTAAAATCCTTCCCCAGCATTGCCAACTAACACGGACCAATGATATATATTGCAATATGGCGTCCCACGGGGTTACTTAATATGGCGCCTATTTTCGAATTATTATCTCATACTCGTCTATCATTCTTTTTAACATTTTATCTTTATTTTTATTCGTCACATTTTTTATTAGTTCACATTGGTTTTTTTTTTTTATTGATTTATTTCAATTTGTTTTTATTTCTTGTATAAGATTATTTTTCGATTAATCGAAAAATGTTAAAAATGCGAGAAAACTGATCGGTGGGATGCGTATACCTAACAATAAGGTCGTGTCACGTTATGACGTAAGCGTATGGACGTAAATACCATGAGAGAATAAAATTCGATATGCACAGTCCGCCATGTCAAGGACTTTCCTATATTCGATCTCTCTCTTTTTCTCTTTCTCTCTCTCTTTCTCTTTCTTTCTTTCCTTTTTTTTCTAACGTTTTACGATTCTTACCTGCGCCAACGCATTTTACCGATTACGTTTAATAGATAAACTTTACTAACTCTTCGATTTATTTTCTTTTATTTATGTTTTGTACCCCACAGAAAAAAAAACTGTCTTGTGAAATAGAAAAAGAGAAGAAAATTAATACGTGGTTTAAATTATATCAGATGGTATATTTAATCAGTATATTTACATAAACCTGCATCGATCTAACCAGACTCTAGTTAAACCCGTTCAATGGCATTCATTGATCAGTTAATATGATGTCATTTCCGTTGATTATTGTAATGTATTACGATGATGTCAATTCGTTGATTAGTAAAGAAACCTTCATTTTTATTTGTCGATGATATACCTTTAAATTATCGATCATCTAATCTCGATTGGTGCTCAATTAACGCGGAACCAATCAAAAACAATTACAACAAATTTGAACATTTCAATTTATAGTTATCAAACGTGTGTTGTTTTTGTTTTTATGAATAATACAATCTTTTACTAAAATAATTTTAGTATCAAGTTTACTGGTTTTCTTACTATTATCAATAATTGAAAAATGAATTAAAAAAAGATTTTGTGAAAAGTGTATACGCCATCTTTAATTTGATCATGTGTAATGTCAAGTTCCTTTCACTAGTTGAATATCCGCAGACAGTTTACGAATATTTTATTTCATAGTTTGTCAAGGACGCGAAACCACACCAGGGATAACTCCTACTTGATCGATCAAACCCTTACGACCAAGTCGCTATAATTTCCCTTATTTACGATTTCAGGGTAAAAAGTTTTTTATGATAGATAAAACAGTGACATATATAAATGCGTTGGCCCACGCACACACAGACACAACTACGAATATTTTATACAATGTCAGTAAAGGATTTATATGAAGGCCCCTTAAAATGACGATATAGTAGTAGATGATTTTTATTTCTATGTTTTATATTTATTTGAAATAAAATAATTAATTTATCAATTTATTTTAATGGAGTTCACAAAATTGAATACCATCTCAGACCTCTCGAAAATCAAAACCTAAATTAATAATTATTTATTATTTATATCCTATTACAGAAAGCATTGTATATAATAATGAAAGATTATTAATCTATAAAATGTTATCTTGGTTTTATCTTTTTAACCCCATTAAAATAATTCCATTTCTTTCTCTTCTTATCGCGATCGATTTGATATCACATCTTGACCTACAAAAGTACATTTAGTAAAGTAATCGAATTTAAGCTCTACACGATTAAATGGATGATTAGAAAATCAAATTAATATTAACGAACCTTAATTAATTAGTCTAATTAATATACTTTTGTGTGAGTTTCCATTCAAACTTATATTCATCTTTTAGATAATTGTTACAAAGATAAAATGAACGAATTTTTTATTATTGATATAAATAAAATCATCTAATAATAATATTTAAATGCATTAATAACATTTTTTAAAATGTTAATGACTTATAAATATAATTAACAGGTCGTGAGATTTAATGTTGATAATAATTACCGACGAAGATAAAGTTATATCGATAATGTAGAATTCTACATTACTTCCATAAAAAAACAAAACATGTTTAATTTCTTTTTCTACAAATTTAAATTTATTGCATAAATTTATAAACAATTATTAATAAATAATTTTTAAAAATTTTGTTTTTTTATTGACAAATTTCATTTTACGCATTGCCAACTAAAAGAAAATATAATTGAGCGATTGCAGCGCCATTCGCAGTATGAATTACAGTGTGCGTGCTAATTGTTTACGCGTAGCGAAGTTGTTTATAAAATTATTTGACATTTTTATTTGAATAAAAGTAATTTAAAAAGTGAAAGAAAATGCCGAAAGTAGTTTCAAGAAGTATAATATGCTCTGATACGAAAGATCAAGAAGAATATGGCGAAGAAAAACCATTACACATTTATTACTGTTTATGTGGTCAAATGACGTTGATTTTAGGTTAGTTTCTTACAGAATTTTATTGTCATAAGATTTCACGTAAAGAACAATTATACATAAAATGATTATATTTTAGATTGTGCTATTGAAAAATTACCATTAAGAAAAAGAGATGGAGCAAGGGTTATTGATGGCAGTAAACATGCACATAAAATGACCTGCGAACAAGATGAAGTCGTTTACCTTAAGCGTCCAGAAGGAATAGAAAAACAATATCGACAAAAATGTAAAAAGTATGTATCACTTAATTATTTTTATAAACAATCAATATAAAATATTTTTATGATACTTTATGATTAATATAAAAATTATGGTTATACAGATGCGGTCTATTCTTGTATTACAAACATGATTTAAATGTGAACGTGGTGTTTATCGTGAAAGGTTCAGTGATAAAGAGTTCTGGAGAAGGTCCAATGACCGATATATATAATCAAGTAGCAATTGAAAAACCTAAGAAGATAATGGTTACTAAACATACCAAAAATATGGGTAAATTCAGTTCAGTAACTGTATCAACGATAGACGAAGAAGAAGATGAGATTGAAGCAGTAAGTTGAGCAAACTAATATTTGAAATATTTATATAACATTTACAAATATAATTGGGACATTTCTAAATGAAATTTCAATTTACAGAGAGAAGTTGCTGACTCGTATGCGAATAATGCAAGAATTATAGAAAAACAATTGGAAAGAAAAGGTATGAATAAAAGAAAATCAATACCACCGACGGAAACAAATATTAAACGGACAAGACCTAGAGGAACTTTATTAGATGTATAGTTTTCCAACAATTTTTGTCCATATCGTCGCAGTAATTTAATAATTGTGATATATTGTAAATAATACTTTTCTGTAATTATTAATATAATTTTTTTTGAAACTCTTTAATTTAAGGTAATCATTGGTATAATTTAATTAGTAAATATATTTTTAACACTTTTAGATGTTTATTAACATTACATAAAAGTAATTAATATACAAATGACTAGATTATAAACATTGCATAAAAATTTACATTGCAAAATATAGATTAGAATTTAATAAATAAATATATATTAACGTACAGTATTGCTTAAGGCGAAGCAAGAAGTTTCTTTTTCTTTTTGTATGTTGTGTAGATGTTTCGATGAAGATAAAAACAAAATTATATTATTCTAAGATAGTAATAATAATCTAGAAAAGTTAAATGTATATTTTCAATCGAGTTAACTTAAGTCTATAATATATAATAGAACAAAAAATATAATATTATCGATTTATTTCATTTTTTTTTTCTTGTAAATAATATTCGCAAAACATAACTTAGATCCAAAAAATATCACATACAACGTTAAATAAAATTGCGTATTTTCTTAATAATTATTTCATTTATTTTACTATAGTATATCTTCATCGATCGACAAAATGAATGAATATGAAACCTAAACAAAATGTAATGGAAAATTTCAAAAAATTTGTATACAATATGTGACATTTTTCCTTACTGTTCTAAATATTATTATTATTATTGTATATAGGAATACAATATATTTCCTGCATTCTAAATGTTATACAAGTTTCAAAAAAAAGTTTTTGATCAATGAAATAAATATATATTTATTAGACTATGGCAATATATTTCTTAAGAACCAAATAAGAAATTATGATCATAATTTGTCGTTTTACAGATATACTATAGAAATAAAAATGTATGCTAGAAAACATATATGTATGTAGTTAAAAAAAAAAAAAAAATGATAAATATGGCTCTATTGAAAAATAGGGAAAGGGATTAATTTTTGCAACTACCTAAAAATATATTATAAGTTGATCGTATAATATGTTATCCTTGGATATAGACAGAAAATGTAGTTGCAAAACGTTTCAAATACGTGTCTCTCTACGTGTGATGTGTGTGATATATGAAATTGTTTTTTGTCAAGTTTCATCATCTGATCTTATCTTTGAAGATATTCGTTTGTATAATAAGTACTATAAAAAACGATCATTTTTAAAGTATTCAAATTTGCTTATTGTTTGTAACAAAAGAAAAGAAAACGTTAAGTTAATTAATCAATAATTGAAAACTCTTCTAAAAAAAAGAAAAGATATTTTATAAAATCACGATCTTCTTTCATTTTTGAATTTAAAATTAAACCTAAGATATTAAATATGATAATAAAAAAAAAAAATTCGACTGCACTGTTTCACAAACAACAAGACAATTATTTACAGTGCTTGATCAAGGAGAGAGAAAAATGGAAATTATTTAATATAAAATAAAAATAAATTATAATAGAAATTTTGTCATCGATAAACGTACGTCAAAAAAGGAATGCGATTAAAATATTATACATACATATATATAACGTCTGACCGTGTATACGTAGCAATATTTAATATTGTAACAAAATCACATGCTATAGAGCCTGTAAGAACGTTGTATGCATATGCATATTAATACGCGCACACGCATAGACGTATCATCAAGTGTGTGCATTTAGATTGTGCCTTAATATGTATATATATATAATTTAAATTGCAATAATCTATATTACATCGAGCATGATTCGTTTCATTTATCACGTTCTTATAGCTGCGTTTAAATGACTTCTCTATGCGTGTTCATTATTATTATTATTTTATTATTATTATTATTATTATTATTATTATTATTATTAATATTAGTATTAGTATTAGTATTATTATTAATATTATTATATTATTATTATAATAATATAGTAATGTATCTTGGAAAAAAAGATTATATTTCATATGCACATTTAAGTACTTATCTGAGATGACTTAATGTCCGTTTTTTTAAGTATAGTAGGCTCATCTTTAAGAAACGTGCCCGATCTAGAACCCACCGTTAATTGTTTAGGAGTCTCTTCGGTATGGCACTTAGTTTTGATCTTATCATCGTTGATTTTGGAAGATAATTTTTTATTAACAAGGATCGGTTTGTTCGGTCTATTAGTGCCAGATTTAGGGGATGATTTTCTACTCGAATTATCCGATCCTTGTTGTTGATTAGCGCTGTTATCTTTCTTTTCTCTTTTAACGATCGAATTAACCATAGCAGTCGATTGTACGGTTTGTCGCATATTCATTATCCGACTGGGAACATTGTTTATCGACTTACTTGATATATCTGGTGTCTTGGCAGCATCCAAAAGATTCCTACGTAAATTTGGGGAACCGTGATAAGCGTTTATAGCTGCTGCCCTACTTCTACTAGCAGCTGTTGAATTCTCCAATGATCTTGGTGGCCTACGCGTTATCGGTACTGGATTTTTCTGTTGCATCGGTGACATATTCTTCTTCGTTCTATCATAAATTTGTGTTTTATTTATATTCTTTCCTAATGTTGGTGATAATTTTTGTAACGTATTAGATTTAGGATTAGACGTTATTTCTGTCATAAGACTATCGGTAGACATTGATGTATCCATTTTGTTAACATTTTTCTTTGCGATCGTTGGTTTGTTTTTAGATTCTGCTAATGAATCTACGGACAATCCGATCTCCGTACTTTTTTGTTTAAACGATGGCGATTCTGGACGAGTTATACCGCAACTTTTACTTATCACATTTTTCTTCTTGTTCGGTCTGGTTATGTTAGATTCGGTCAAACTATCAGACGATAATGCTTTTACGTCTTTCTTTACGGGTAGTTTTACTCTCGCTATTGGCTTTTTCTCGGTCACTCGTTTTGTCGCTGGACTAGACGTACGTGATGAATCTGAGGAAGAGATCGTAATTTTTCGTCTTTGTATTATAACTTTATCTTGATTCACTGTAGCATTCTCTTTTGGTACAAATTTGGTTCTCGGTTCTAAATATCTAGACTTTACCTAAAAAATCATATTAATTAATATTATTTTAATAGAAAGATATTATATATTTGTTATATTAATTGTTATTTACTTCTATTTTATTGGGCCATGATTTAGGTCGACTTGGAGCATCACTCGTACTCGGTTTATTATCCTCTTGTAATTTCCTTTCAACGGGATCGCTTTTTGGTTTGTTTAAAACTTTACGCGTTTGTTGTATCGATGGCATTTGTTTCATAGTTTTATCGTTGTGTTCGGATATAGCCATTTTCACCCGTTTCAAATCTAAATTTCGACTCACCGAACAACCGGACGATGTCTTTGAGTCCTTTGCAATAAAATACAAAAGAAAATAAATTTAATATTAAATTAATAAATAATAAATATATATACATCTCTAATTACCTTTACCTTCAAAAAGTTCGAATGCCTCGATTGACATTTCGACGTTTCGTGTGGTAAAATAACAAGACACGCCAATTCTTGAATCCTACGACGAAGTTCCAAATCCATTTTTAACCACGTCGTTGATCTAGCAGCTCTAGCTGCTTCCCTGACCAAACATTTTTCAACGCGTGCTTGAATTTTCTTTAAAAATTCAATAAACAAAGGACCCCATTTCAGCTTGGTCTGAAAATTATCCGTTTGCAATGGCAATAACATTTTATGCAACCTTGAATAACTTTTACACGCTTGTTCAGGTGGTAAACGTTCTGCTGCTGATAAAAAGTTATCCTCCAAACGGCTTATGTTCCACGTTAAATCGCGACCAAGCGATTGGAAATTTTCATTGTTCAATATTGCAGCAAAATTGTCGGATAAAAATTTCAACGTTGTTTCTAATAAATTTGAAACCATTCTGTAAACTGGTTCCGCCCAGCGTACATTTGGCAAAGTTGCTAATAGCTTATCACAATCCATCATAGTTTGAAGTACATTATCTGTAGACTACAAATTAAAATAATCAAATTATTAATTTATAAACGTTTAGAAAACAAAAATAATTATTTATAGCATTGTATTGTTATACATACCATATGTACTATATGTTGTAAATAACATTTTTCCATTAATTCTCTCGGAAGGGTTGCAAATGCTTTGCATGGCCATATTCGTACAAAATGTCTTGTTACCCATCTTAATGATTTACGATATATTTCATCCAAACCATAAGCTGCTGCCAATGGCATACATTCCAAAACACCAACAGCACACACTTGACAAGGCTAACAATTTTATAAATATTATAGTATCTCACATATATTTAACATTCAATTAGGAATATGATAAAAAGATAGTAATATTTACTTTATGAAAAGAATGACAATACTTGACTTTAATAGTATATCCAATAACTTCTTTAAGACCTTCTAAACAAAGCATATCAGCCAATGTAGCTAATTCAACGATGCTTATGGAATCTGGTATATTACTTTCCCCACTGTATATATGACGAAGCGCAAAATTTACCGCGTTGTAAGAATATCTGTAAAATTATTTTCAAATTAATATTAATCTTGATATTTTAAATTTCATTAAAAGAAATATTATTAAGTGTACCCTTGTAAGGAAATCACATTTCCTGCACTTTCAATCCATCCACCGCTGAGTATTGCAGCAAAGTATTGACAACGAGAACTTAATATACATTTATGTGCTCTAATTCGTTCTCCAGATACATCAATCGTAACATCTGTATTAATTTCTTCCGAAAACATTCTTAACAAATCTTCACCCAATCGATTGTGTGGTTTGCCACCAGCCAAACTTGATGTTTCCGTTTCTTCTGTACTTCCATCTATAAAATAATAATATGTTTTAATATATATAATAGTTTTATTATATATTATAGTGTAATACGGTTATACTGTAAAATTTACATACCAGCACCAGAACGTCCCATGCTACTTTGCATGCTACTAATATCACTTTCAGAAATGATACCTTCAGCTTCCCCGTCCCTCGTTAATTCTTCAAGAGGTGACTTTTGTTTGGATGGTAAGGAAGTACTCATGACAGAAGAAAATACTCGAGAGAGAGTTCTAACAGAATCGTTGGTTCTCGACATAACTAATTTACTTTCGATCCATGATGTTTCTGGTATACTACTACTCATACGATAAACAGCCCTGTTTTCCTTGGGCATTAAGTAATCAGAGGTATGAGAATGTCCAGATGTTTCTGTTAAATCAGAGAGTCTAACGAACTTTGAACTAGGCTTTTTCTTATTCAATTGTAAATCTTTTACATCGTGACTAATATGATTATTCTTATCTACTTTAGATACAGACGTATGATTGTTATAAGTCCAATCAGGTTTTACATAATCTGGACCTTCCAACTCACATTCTATCTTCTTGATAGTCTCATTTAATGATTTATGAGTTTCTAGTATTTTATTGCCTGTCGAAGGAATAATTGGATGTATGTTAACGGTAGTTTCAACATCTCTGCTTAGTAAATCTGATAATTCATAATCACGATTATCGCTGTTGGGAGATGGTCCGCTACCACTGCTAATGTCGAACGTTTCACTTTTACGTGTTTGTCCATTAGTACTTTCTGTACAAGTCTTACCCCATCCAGACATATCTGAATACTCATCTTCGTATATTTTTGTATCGTCATCCAATGGCTGTTCTCTACTGTCGTTACCTAACTCCTTGTATTGTTGATATTTAATACTAGCACGTAATTCTTTATCGATAATTTCTATATGAGAATTTGGTGGAGTATCTTTAATATCATACGCCAAACATTCTTCCGTAGATGTATCCATATTATTATTAGAATTACTTTCCAATTCGTGCAACGAGTTTGAATTTTTATTATTTGTTGATGATTCACCACCACCTGCAGCATCGCTGAGAGAATGACTAGAAGAACTTTGTTTAGTTTGCATCTTCTTTAAATCCCTTTGATCTACTGATAAGCTATGAGCTCGTTTATGTTCTTTTTTTATTATTGATTCTTTGTTAGGTGTTTGTCCATTACCATTAGCACTTTGCGTTTTATCGATGTTCCACGAATGACGTTTTAAAACCGATCGTGATGAGGATAATGTTCGTCTTCTTACTATCGGTGAATCCGATTCGATGAACATGAAAACACCGCGTTTGGGTTTTTCTTTAATTGATTTACTCGAATGAGAATCTTGATTCTCTTGAAGGGTCGTAGAATTTTCGTTAGTAGCAACTTCGTCTATTTTTTCTTCTATACGTTTGTCAGTGAACGACGATAAATTTCTTTTATGCATCGTTTTAGGAGGTGGAACACTTTCGGTCGTCTTTTGAGGATCCCCTAAATCTATGAACATAGAGAATATATTTTTCTTATCGACTTCTTCAACATTTTTATGATTCGTATCTTCTTTAACAACTTTTTTATTTTTTGGAAGATCATTTTTATTAGATATATCGATATAGAATTCGCAGTAAGCAGCTTTGTCACTTTTTGGTGGTTCCACTTTTTTACATTCAACATTTTCTTCAGTAGGTGTATCATCTTCTTTAGATTCTACGTTATTTAAATTGACGAAAAAACCTAAACTACCGTGTTTCTCGTGACTACTAGATCTTATTGAATTTTTAATGCATTCAGGAGTGGAAAAACTTTGAGACATGTTAGTCATGGAACTATCTCTCGTTGTTGATCCTGATTCACTTTTTGTACAATCGCTCATATCTACAACCCAAGCGGTCATGGAAGAAGACATTCTTGATGGTTGTTTATCTTTAGTATCATCCATAATAACAGAACCACCAGATACGATTGGCGTTGATTCCGTTTTACGTTTTACGATAGGACTATCCATTGGTTTGGTAAAATCTGATGTGCTTACCCCACCAGATATAATTGGAGCTGTTTCATTTCTTTTAGTTTTTCTGATTACATCTACCAATTTAACATTTTCTATATTACAACCTACAGTAACTGGTAAGCTACTGCTAGACTTATATGCACTATCGTCATCTTCGTAACATTGAAACGTTAATTTATCATCTGTTGTTTTATCCGCACTAGAAGAATACGATGTATCCGAATTGGTAATACTATTTTGCAGAAGATAATTATTTTCTAATAAATTTGGATCAATTTTAGATTCGTAACTATCTAAAGATAAATATCCCGAATGATACTGTTGTATATTTGTAGCTACTTTAATATCAGGAGTAAAATTATTTAATACGTCATTGATAGGTACAACCGTTGTTGAATCCGTAGTAGGATTAGAAATCATATCACTATCTACACGATGTCCCGAATATTGTGGTATGGCACTTTGAAAAACAAGATTGCCTTGTCTACGTTCGTATTCTTGTCGTAATACAGAAAGTTTATCGTTCGAATCTAATTCAAATGTATTTCTTCTTATTAACAAAGGTTGCTGTGCATTTTCAGTTGTATTTTTATTAGTCTCTTTAGAATCCGTCGAATCTTTCGTCGTAATATTCAAAAGTACATTATTTTCATCATTTTTTATATCACTGTTTACATCTATTTTATCTTGAGAATTATTGATATTTGTGCTATTATCTGGACAGGGTGAAGCATGATTACTTTCACCGCTATCCGCTTCTTTTATTTCTACAGCTAATGACTCTTTGTTTGTACCTTTATTCCCGTCATCTTTGCCGATTAACGTTGAATTTATTTTTGTTATCTTAGGTATATCGACAACTGGTTGAAAGTATTTAGTTATTTTCATTTCCGGTTCAAATTCGGCTATTTTATTACATTCATTTTTTTGTATGTTGGTTACTTTAAATGGACAAGTAAATTTATAGAATTGATCAGTAGCAGTATCATGCGATTGCAAAGTCTGTGAAAAATCAGCGGAAACAGACATATAAGGTCTACTTGCATTTGTACCAGTTTGTACATCTTCTTTAACGTTAATATTTAAAATTTCCACTTCGTCGTTCAATGAAGACGCATCTATGAAGTAATGATTACTTATATTAGAATTACTGCATGCCGATGAACGCGTGAAATCAGTCAATTTGTGCTGTACTTTCTCCGCACATGAATTTTCCACTTGAGTACAATTATCATGCACTTCTTCATCTTCCAACTTTTCTAATACTTTCTCTTTACATTCGTCATTATCCTTTGGAACAGATTCGGAGGTCTCATTTCCACCTTCGCTACCACAATCCGATTCATAAAATGGATCATTGAGAACTTCATTTTCGTACTTGGTGATCTCGTCGTTGTGCAATGTTACTTTTTTATTAGGATTTTCTATCGACGAACCAGACGAATATTCATGTTGACTATTCATAGAAGAGCTCGTAGCACTACTGTCATTAACAACATAATCCATTAATGCTATTTTATGTAAATCTTTTGTACGACGCGAATCACCATAAGTAGTTATGGTATCATCGTGTTTGCTATCGATAGCTGGTACATTGCTTTCATGATCGGTTCGTGTAATACTAGTTGAAAGCGTTGCATCAATGGTTGAAGTATATGATGGTAATTGAGATTCCTCCAAATCTACATCCAAATTATTTTCTGAAGTTATTGTTTCAAGATGATTAATTGAATCAGCCATTTCTAATGACATTGGACTTTTATTTATCACGACATAGCGTTTCTCGACTTTCACATATTGTTCAATTGTATTGCTCGTTGGTGACCATATTTTATGTACTCTGTTGAGATCAAAAATAATTTAATCAATTATTACATATATCATGTCAATAATTTAAAAACTTAAAAATATTATTTTACAAAAGAAAATAAATAAACCTATAATATAGGAATAATTATGAAGAAAGTTTTTATTAAATATCAAATAAAAAAATGATGTACCACTATTACTTAAAAGAAAACCTTTCACTGAAATCTGATCCATTATTGAAGTAAAAGAAACTTCTTATAGGTGGTTTAATAGAAATATCACGAATAAATACTATTGGTTGCCATTTCTCTTGTAACAAGTCCAAATTAACGTATAAAGATCTGTAAAATATAATGAAATATTTTATAAATTTATACGATTAACATTTTTTTTCTTTTGTATTAATTTATTTATTTTTTTTCTAAGTTAATTACGTAGAACAAAAAATTACCTTAAAGCATGTTTCAAAATTTGATGAATATCTTTATCGTTAATTTTATTCCCTTGTTGAATATGCAATTTTTGAAATTGCAAAATTAAAGGAAATTCACATCTGTTCAAAGTGTAGATTGTTTGACCTTGTAACAATTGTTGTACTCTTTCTATATTTCCATTTTCCCTGTTGTCTAGCTTTTTTGCAGCCATGAGACATATTTATTTTTATACTACTTGTTTACCTTTAATTTCAACAAAAATATTTCAATTATTAATTATAAGTTACTTTTATTTGTCATATCACTGATACACACACACACACACATATATATATATACTATGCGTATAATATGTATGTATATATATATATTATATTATATATAAAATATATATAATTATATAATTATAATTTATATTTATTAATTTAAATATTATTTTTAAACAATTAATTACAATATAAAATTCATATAAATATTCTTTTGATTAAATTTTTAACAGTCATTTAAATACTTGTCAAACAAACGCACATCTGCTACACAAGATTAAAAAACAAACAATATTTGAATAGGTTCCTTTTTTTTTCTTTTCTTTTCATTAAATTATCTCACACAATAATACAAATCAAATATTTGAATATAAAACGTTTGTATTAAATTATAATAAAATAGTAACGCGTATTACAAATTTAATTTATTCCCGGTTTAAACATTTTTAAAGTTAGAATCTAAGAATATGGGCACACACCGAGACGATTACTGTCAATTTATGGCCACTATCATTTTGTGTATAGATAGACGTATTTAAATATTTCCAATGCTAGAAATAAACATATTCAAGTTTATTCTTGAAAAAATTCCAATTGTAATTTTTTATATTTCGTTTCATTTAATTGTTAATAAAATAAATGAAGGATAAAGAAAAATAATACACGAAGTATCTTAAAGATAAACTTTAGATGAGAATTTCTTAATAATTTATTGATCGTACGTCACACATACGCACCTCGCATTATTTTATTCCAGATGCAATGACAAAATATCCGCGAATTATCTCGACGATATTCAATGTCTACCCTTAAAAGCATCTCATGAACAAAACTGTCAAATCTTTTGATAAATTCTTTTATTTATTCGTATAATAAATCACGTATTTCTTTGTTATCCTTAATGCACAACCGCAAATTTGAGAAATGACGATCCCAGTTCCGAAAACATAGTAGAGATACTAGGAATCACCGCTAGATGGTACTAGTGATTACTATCACCGATTACAAATTTCAACCAATCCCGTTGATAGAAAATAATTGTCAACCAATCAGATAAAAGATTTAAATATAAATGATTATAATCAATTGTAATATTAATTTGAAAAATATTCTTTAAAGTTTTGATATAAAAAACAATGTTTATAAAAAATGATCAAGGAAAAATAATTTGAATTTGAATTTGAATTTATTGTTAGTATTTGTATTGCTGTAAATAGTTTTACATTTGATTTATACAAATTTGATTGTGTGCGAAAATACAAAAAACAAACACACACATACGCACAGAGAGATGTATATTTATAAGCATTGTTTATGAATATTTGATATTATGGTATGTGTATACAATGCATACATGTGCTACAATTTTTAATCTAAATCGATTAAATGATTAATGTATTGTTTTTTCATTTAACTTCATAGCATACTATATTGTCGTATCCTTCATCATCTTGACTAGTAACCGATGAAAATGATGAATTTTCTTGATTATTCGATTGACATTGAGGAAGTGGTTTCAACCAATCACTCGTAACAATTCCCGTTTGTAAATGTTTTAACATTATTTCTATATTTGGTTGTAAGACTAGAATAGTTCCTTTTCTTAAATGTAACTTCAAAAATCTCCAGATATCAATTTGTTCTGATTCCGATAAATAAAATTCAAAAGGATTATTCATGACTACAACGTCACTAGTTTTTACGATCTCTGATGCATTCTCAATCTTATCATGCAAGATTTCAATCCTGTCGTTCATTTTGTATTGTTTTATGATGCTATTTTGTAAATCACAAAATTCTTTATTCATTTCTATACCAATTATTTTACTAGCATCGGTATAAACGTATGCCTAAAATATTCAAATATATTTTCTTCATATCACATTTTGTATTAATTATAATTATTTAAAATGAATATTATATGTTTGTTTACTTACGCCATACAAAACTGCACCCAAACGTGATCCAATATCCAATACCGTTTTACCTTCTAATGTTGGTAATAAGGTATTAAATATAAAATATAAAGCATCTCTTGACATGGAATGTGAAATAAATACTAAAAAATACATAGTATAAATACATTAGAAAATTGATATTAACCCCTTGCACTATAATTTTTAATGTGATGAGTTGCATGCCACGTTTGATGTTATATTTCTTGCTTCTTATTATTGGTCCATAAGATTGGTAACGCTTGTTTAAAGTGCAAGCGGTTTCAGATAAATATTTTATAATTTATAATAATCTTACTTAATGGTTTAATATCTCTTGATCCACAGTTGTTACAATAATATTTTTGAAGTTTTCCATTGTCTATTAATTCATTTATATCGTCGTCATCATAAAGAAATTCATCAACGTGCAATGTTACGTTAGAATCACAATCTGAATTCTGTAAATAATAATTTGAATGAATGATTAGGAAAATTTGAGTAATGTTTTAATTATAAATATATATTTATATTTACTTCTCCTTTTTTGGGAACTTCTAAATGTTCTGAAGATAATATTCCATTAAAAGGAACCCTCTTTCTTATATCATAAGCTATTGAATTTAATAAGAATACGGGATCATCTATAATACCATCCTCCATATCTTTCCTTAAATCATGTGTGACTGCATGTTTATCTAATTATTTCAAACAAAATTAATTAAAATTTGTAAAAATCAAAAATAATATAAATAATTTGTCAAAATTGTACAAACCCGGTCGACAGTCGAATATATTTTCCATAGGTTTCCATTCTTGTAAAATAAAAGCAAAAAATTGTTCCAGATCCTTTTTGTTTAAATTTCTCATCAAATCGGTGAATTGTTTTTTTGCATTTTCTAAATTAACAGCCATCTTAAAGCATAATAATAATAATAATAAGAAGAAGAATTTATTTCACTTAAATATGTCTTTTGAAAAATGAATTATTATATGTCAAGACTTGTTATAATAATTTTTAGTCAAATAAATGAAGTTTGTTAGTCATTAAACTATAAACACAATTTTTCCACGTGATTTTATTCAGTTCAGTGACTCCACGTTTAGGGCACGGGCATTTGAACTTTTAAAGGTTATGTTATACGTTTTATCAAAGAATATAGAATTATATAGGTAAAAAACTCATTTTAGTTATCACCGGGATCACCAGTGGGCGATAGTAGGTACTTTATGCGATGACAGTACACAATACTTATAAAATAATAAAATATCAAATAATATAAGATATATAAATATAAATATAAATATAATTAAAATAAATATAAGAATATATTTTAAAGTTTTAAATCCTTTTTGAATTTTCAAAATGGTACACTAAAATTAGTGTGTTATGTTATCTTCAGAAGATAAGTTAACGACAAATCTTAATGATAAAAAATATTTGTTCCTATTGTATGTAAGTAAAATATTAAGGAAAAGTATGTAAAAAATTCTGTGATAAGGGTTATACGCGTATCAACATCAAAAAATCCAAAATCTTATCCACCTTTCTTATCGACTGAGCAGTCAACGCTTTACCGATTTCAAGTTAACTGCTTTATCCATTGAGCTATCACGTCTACTTATTTTATGTTACAAAAATATATTTATTTATACAACTTGGTAACAAATAATTATTAAACTAATGATTAATTTAGTTTTACAATAGTTTATTTATTATTAATAACTTTTATTCACAATAATAGTACATTTGTTGTTAACAGAACACTTCCAACTTATTGTTTTAATAATATGATTGGAATCTGCGTACATCTTTTCCTCAATATTTATTTAATTAATATTGTTCTTTTATAATACCTATAATTAATAAGGTAAGATCTTTTGATTCTATCAAACATTAACAGGAGCAGGTGGTGTTTGCTTTAATTGCAAAATAATTGAGCGCATTCGAGATACATCTTTGGAAGTGCGAGATGATTTAGGATTGAAATCGCATAGCTTTGCGATACGTTCCCATTCAGTACCAGGCTCCACTTCGTCAGCTTCTGCAACGAATTGCTTCTCTGCATTCCTATTAATTAAGAACGCTAAATTAATTCTAATGTCATATCACGTATCATTTATTTTGATAATAAATTTTCATTAACTCATATTCTTTTTTTTCTTTCGTATACAATTCAAGCATAATTCATCATCGTCGTCTAATTTATTTGCGGGCATTATTTGAATCTTTTACAAAGTGAATGCCAGTATACATGCATTTAAAAATGCTTATGTAACAAATTTTTAGTAGACACATATAGATTGTAATATTAACGAAAACTAAAATAATAATAATAATAATAAGAAGAAGATTTGTATGATACGTATAAATATATGATATGCGATACATTCTTTGTAATATTAAAAAAAAAAAATACGTTTAGCTTTCTAAAATTGAATTTATATGAAAGTATCAATATCTTTTGTTGTTTTTAAAAAACTTTTGTCTAATTTACCTGCCTAAGCAAAGCCATGTTGTAATATGGTAACTTAATGCAACTATATGCAATCAATAATGCAATAATACATGCAATTAAACAGATTGTAACTTACTTGGCTGATTCCCTAAGAAGCAGAATAAAAAAATAATGTATGTATACATCTATATATCATACTTATTCAGATAGCCTAAAATTAAGTATATAATAATATTCAACTACCATTAAAATAAATGTAATTATAAAATATGTAACTCTATTGATTTCTTTAAAGAAAATATGACAAAATATTTATTTGAAAATAATTTTGAAGTTAATATATATATATATATACCTTTAGTTTTTGTTTTGCATTTATTATCAAGAAAAATTACATTTAACAAAAATATAATTAATATGAAAAGTGAAATCTTTTTGTTTAATGTTTTTAATTATTTATATAAATAGAACAAAACGAATGTTAAATTTCAACTACAAATAATATATAAATATATAAGATATAAGAAAATAGAAAAATTATATATATATATATACCTGTTAGTTGTTTTGGTTTTGCTGATTGCCTCTGCGTGATGTTTATACCATTCTTCTAATTCTTTCTTTGCAGCTTCTCTCCATTCTTCCTTCTTTTTTTCTTCCTCGGCATCTATAATGAAATATTTATATGTATACTTCTTATTTTGAACTAATGATATTAGCTTATTTTATTATTAGATGTACCTTTTTCTTCGAGACGCGTTTTCTGTTCTTCCCTCCATTTTCGTATCTTTTCCGGCTCCTCTTTAATTTGTGGTGTTGATGCTACCGTATCTACAAAAGCATCTATACTTTTAGGTAAATAAAATATATTCTCTTATTACATTTTTTATGAGAATATATATATATATACTTTACCTAGAGTAGGTAGCGTTGAACTTTCGGTAGGCTGTACAATGGTGTCTATGATTTCAAAACTACCTTCGACATCACTACCTGGACCAAGTTTTAAATTGCCAAAATTTCCAGGTAAATCCTCTACTAAAAATATACTTAATTGTTATATACATTATGTATAATAAAATTGTTAAGAATACAGAAAACCTTTGAAGTTAAATGTTAAGTATAATTCATTTATCATGAAACTATTAATCCCTTGCATTATAACAACGTATGGGACTTGTAATATGCTTTATGGTTTAAATATAAAAAACATGAATCCTATTCATAGCAAATCTTATAGGCCAAACATAAAAAAGAAAAAAAAGATATAGCATCGAGTTTGATACACAGTTCTGTATATTAAATCATAGTGCAAAGAGTTGATAACAATTTTATAATTGATATATAAATAATAAAGTTATATTTATTAATTTACCTTCTCCATTAGTAGGTGCTGTTACAGTAGCCATAGAAACAGGAGGAATTTCATCTTCTAATCCTGCCAATTGATCCTGTTCTCTTGCTAGAAATTCAGCAGCAGGATCTACTTCAGTATCGTTTACAAAATTGTCTCCAAATGCGTCCATGATTATCTAACTGATTTAATATAAACAATATGTTAATAAAATAATATTTTTTATACAAATCTTCATAACATTTATGTTATAAACTTGAAATATAATAGAATTATAAGGAAAGAACATCTTGTGTCATAACTTTATATATACATTCTAAATTAAAAGTCTAAATTAAGTATCGTGCATTTAATTTACTAATTGAAGTATTTTAACATGTTTAATTAATAATGTTAATATATATATTGATATTGAAATTTATATAAAATATATATATATACATATATATATATATATGTCTATATGAAGTTCAATATTATAGGTTAGATTTGAGCACATGACAAATAAAGAAGATTAAACCTAATGAAAGAAAATAAAACATTAGTCAAAATAATGAAATATCTTTTAATTACATGAAAATAATTGTATATAATTAAAAATAGAGAGTATATATAATTTGCAATATTATTGTTCAAATGAAAAAAAAGTAATTTTCTTAGATATATATTTTTAATGCTTTTTAATGACCCAGAATTATTAATATGTATACTAATCATTATTATTTAAAAACTACTTACGGTAACACCCCCTTTCTTTAACCTTTTAGATTTCTGTGAAATGTCAATTATAATTTGACAACGTCAATACCACAGTGCGCAGTACACACATGCGCACATTCACTAACTATAAAGCATAATTTCTATAACAGTCTATGTTTCCATTCATAGTTGAAAACAGACGAATCAACGTAATCGTATACTTTTATTTCATTTAAACTTGACTTATGATTGGCTTAAACATTTCATTTTAGATCTTAGCTTTATTATTTTATACTTTAAATCTAAATTTGAACGATTAATTTCCGAACAATTATGGTTCTAATAACCCCTTCAAAAATTCGGTATTTGTCAAGGTCGTATAGAGCATTTAATGAGTTATAACCTATAAATAAAAAGTAAACAATATTTTTATAGGTTATATCATTTAATTATTGTATTTAATTTATTCATAATTTGTATAGTTATTTTATGCAGATATAATGTATCATTTTAGATTTTAAATTAGATAGGTAGTATTAAAATATAATTATAATTTATAATTCTTCTTCAGATGCTGTTTTATTGATGAATTTGTTAAATATTTGTATTTAACGTGGATGATATTTGATATAAAACATTTCTGTTCAATAAAAATGCTTTGTATTACCAATATTTTCGAATGTATATATTCGAAATAAACATTATTAATAAATGAAAAATACAATTGACTGGATATATATTTATACATATCAAATTGATTAGAGAATTGTACAAAGTTTTCATGATTTTTTTTTTTTCTATCAACTCAGTGCTATTTAAAGGCACCATTTAATATCGAATAATAGAATTTGGCAGCAGAATGATAATAATGTATTGAAAGATAAAAACTATCTACATATTTTGAAATTCATCGGTGCCATTAGCATTAAGCATTAAAATATTAGGATTTTCTTTTTCAAAAGCTGTTGCATCTCTTCCACCAGGTCTTTCTTCTTGTCCCCATTCACCAAGAACTCCTCGCATAACATCTGGTTGTTGTCGCAGCTTCTCCTCTTCTTTCTGCGACATTACTAACAGTGTATAGTCAAAAACAACAAAATAAATAATAATTAGAACATTTGTGATCACAATTTTAACGATGAAAATCGAGTTACAACAATTTCTATTATTGTTGCTACTAACACACAAATATTTATTTTGAAATTATATTGTTAAATTAAACACACACATAAATATTGAGACAATACAAATACAAATGTTTAAAAACAAATACAACATTTAAAAATTCATTTTATAGATAATGCAATTGACAAATCATTATTATTATTATTATTATTATATCAGTATTAATATTAATTATCTTATTATTATTATTATTATTTTTCACAAACCTGTCTGTCTTGTTGCGCAAATTTTTCGAACATATTTGCATAAAGTTTCTTTTCTTTCTCTTTTTCTTTTTTAATCACATTTTTACAAATATGTATATGTTTGACAGCAGCTACATTTTTTGGTTCTATTTCTAATACATGTTCAAAATCTTGAATAGCTACATCAGGCATTGTTAACGCAAGATATGCTTGTCCTCTTCTGAAATATGCTTTTTCATTTAGTGGATCAATCTTCAAAGCTGCTGTACACGCATCTTTGCATTCTATGTTTTGATCAGTTTTTAAATAACACAATGAGAGATTCAAATGCGTTGATAAAAGTAAACTTTGACTTTCCGATTTAAGCTCATTTTCAAATTCTTTGTCGTAGGATAAGAAATCCAAGGCCTTTTTGTACATCTTGATAGCTAACTTATATCTTTCTTCTTTGAAGTAATTAGTTCCTTTGTCTTTCGAAATTTTCGCCTGCTCTATTTTTTGTGATCCATTTAAATTCCAACTTCTTACGGCCTATATCACAATTAAATCGTTAATATAATTAGAATCAAAAATAAACTAAAAAATATTTCTATAACATTCTATATCAAGAAGATTATTACCTTTTCAAAGCTTTTCAATTCTACGATATATTCCACATTTGCATTTGGTGGAATGTTAAATTTGGTATTACCTTCCGATTTAAATGCGTATTTACTTTTTATTTTAAGTTTAGATTTTTCTCCACTTTTGAAACTTTCAAGTGCTTTTTCTACACCCTCTACAATATCATCTTTTTCTCCTTCTCCAAGACAAAATTGTACATCTCTGTCATCAAAGACTTCATCGTTATACTTTCCAGTCAAGTGTACTGTTCAAGAACAATTACATATATCAATTTTTTCTCTTATTTTTATACATAAATATAATGAAATATTTAAAGGTCATACATACTGTTTACTAAAGAACCATCACGAGGATTAGAATGATCTTTTCCTGGAGTAATTTGTACTCTTGTAATGCTTCCATCTTTCTCAGGACTTAAATCTTCTTCTGTCCAATCGATCACTTCAATCTGACAATCCAATATTTATTAAATATATTATATTTATTATTACTTTTTTCATAACATAAAAAGAAATGTTGTTTACCTCAAAATTTAGTGTTGCATTGGGAGGAATTTTTGGAGGACTACCAGTCTTTCCATACGCGTACTCAGGAGCACATGTTAACATTGCAACTTCACCTCTTTTCATCGTAGCTACACCTATATCCCAAGCTGCAATAACATCGGACATACCCAAATTAAATTTGAACGGTTGATTACGGTCTCTGCTAGAGTCAAATTTAGTTCCATCTAATAAAGTTCCTGTATAATGCACTGTTACTGAGCCTCCTACTACTGGAAGCTCATCGCCAACACCTTCTTTTATTATTTCTTTAAGAATACCACCATTTTTGGCAGGTGAAATATCTTCTGCAACCATGCTAAAATATATAAATATATTATATTAATAATCATGAACATATATTAACTTAAAATCTAATAAATAAATAAATAAAACTACGTTATGCAATACTTTATTTCTAATTTAATTATTAATCCTTAATTTTATTTGATTTTATATATATATAAAAGTTACACTTAAATAATTTATAAATATCAGTATGTAAAATATTAGTAAAAAAAAAATTTAAAATATGAGATAATAAATTTAATTTAACTTAAATTTATAAAATAAAGTGTTACATTTAAATAGAATTGAAAATAATTTTGATTAAAAATGTATTTTATTTGTCATGTGCATATGAAATAATAATTACACTGCATTTTTTAAATAATACATTAACATAAATTATAATGATTTAATGAAATAAAATATTGAAATATAAATAAAATAAAATTATACTCACGTTGTATTTTAACTGTCAAATTCTTTCAAAGAGATTTAATTATTTGACGTTGAGTTAATATCGAAGAGGAATAATTTTCAAGAAAATTATATTTTATAAATCTCGTCGTTCTGTCGCAAACGCCGGGCAAGGGAATTTCATAGAACTTACTAGAAAACGTATGTATGACAATACAAAAGTCGAAATTGGGTTAACGAGAATGTCAATCGATAATTCTATCGATAAGTCTCGATCTTTCGATTTCAATATTTTAAATCGATTATATTTCTATATCGATATACACGCTACTTCAAATAGTTTATCATTCATTTATTTAAAACTAATTTCATTTTCTATATAAGTATATTTAATTATTTATTTTTAATAATATAATATTTATTTAAAATATAAATATATTAAATCGAATCATAATTTCAAATCTATATTTTAATATTATAATGAAAATATATAATATTAATACATCGTATATATAATACTACTATATTAACTAATTACATAACTAATTAAATCAATTACGTAATAAAAAAAAGTAACGAAAATAATAATAATAATAATTATCTAAATTTGTCATTAAAAAATGATAAAAGATAAACGTAACACGTGAGATTTTATTTTCAAGAAACATTGTGTGAAGTGAAGTTAGGTTAAGTTTATCGATAGTGAATTATCAAGCTATCTAACGATTGTACACCCGCCACATCGTATTCAATGCATACTTCAAGTTAGTTGAGCACGGTTTAATCTGGAAACGCATTAATATAATCTTTTTAAATATTTAACTAATACCAAAATACAAAATGCTAAGGAAACGAAAATTATCTAATCTACACAGGAGATGTCGTATTTGTTTAGAGGATCACGATTGTATGAGTAATTTATTCGATGATGGTCTACAATCGCAAATCAAGGATCTCAGCAAGTGTACCTCCATTGATGTAAGTTGTTTATAATATCTCATTATTTTATTTCTTACATTGGCTTTTCATTTCCACTTTTTATTAGTTATCAATTAACTCATCTTTTTCTTATTTTTCTTTCAGATTAAAGACGAAAAAGGTTGGCCCAGTGTTTTATGTTATCATTGCTTATACAAATTGAATATGTGGAGTGAATTTAAAATACAATTTATACAATCTAATGAATTATTGTTGAATCATTTGGAATTATTCGAAGCATCTGATAATATGGTACGTTTAATTATATTTAATTCAAATGAGATCAATTCGTATTATATTGCTCAAACGTAAGAATTAATTTTCTGTTAACAAATGTTACTTCAATGAATTATATATTTTATTAATTTGTTTAGATGATTTACGTTTGAGTTTTGAAATATTATATTTTATTTTATTTTTTTTTACATTGTTTCATTATCCAATTATTTAATTATTGTTGTAAGAAGTATAAATATAGTTTATATAAAATAAAATGAATATGTTTCAGGTAATGCAATATAAAAGAAAACTTTCAGGATTAGATCAGAGTAGTGATGAAATATTATCTGATACTAATGACAAGGTATAAATTTAATATTAATTTAATAATTTTAATAGAAATTATTTAATGTTTCTCATATTTGAATTGTAAAGTGTATCATGAGTTTCATATGTTATAATGCAAGAAGTTTAATATTCTTTAAAATATATTTTGTGTGTGTGTGTGTGTGTATTATAATAATATTTTTTAATTAATAATATTTTTCAGAAAAAGTTAAAATCAGAAGTACCTCCGTTAATACCATTGGAATTTGCAAACGTAGATTGCGTAACAGATAAAAATACATTGAAAGAAATGTATATATCTGAGGATGAGCCTGCATCTTCAAAAGATTCATCTCCAAAGGCTAATGATAATATCGGTAGGGATAAATTTGAAGGAACTAATGAAACGGAAGGGAATACTCAAGTAAAACCATCTTTAGTACCGGTCAGAGTTAAATCTTTGAGCGTTAAGAAAGGTAGAACGACGGAAAGAAGAAGAGCTTCTACCAAACGTTGGGTAGCAAGAAAAAAAGCTCTTTTAGCAGCAACTGGAGAACGTGCATCAGACACTGATTCTATTTCTGATGATCAATTATCACCTGTACAGAAAGCAAGAGCTAAAACAAATGCTGATAAAGAAGCTGAGAGACAAAAACGATTAGCCAAAGCATTAAGAAATTTAGAAAGTAATATAATTAAATATGCTAATATAAATAAAGATGATAGCGACAACATTAGCATCGATACAGATTCAGATTCAAGAAAAACAAGATCTCAAACAGCTGTTAATAGCGATGCTGTATCCAGTGAGAATAAAAGTCCATCTACTAAGCAAAATAATATAGAAGAAAAGATAACACAAAATAAATCATATTTAGAAAATGCTGTGGAAAAAGATAATTCTTCTATTTTTAATCAAGAATGCGATATTACAGATGAATCTACAAAAAAGGTTCAATCAAGTAACGATCAGGATGAGTTCTTACCGCATTCAGTTAAATCTGAATTAGAAGTTGGTGATACGAGATATATCGTAACAATGACATTGGAATTATCTACACCAGAATATAATAATAAAATGCACTTAAATAATTTACCTAAAGAATCCAAAAGTTTAAATATGGATGAAAATAGTCAAGAAAAAAATACAGATATCATTGATGCTGTACAATTACGTAGGATTCATCCAACGACAAATGATTCTAATGATAAAAAATTTATTGAAAAATGTTTGAACATAGAAGTTGAGGGAAAGGAATTAGAAGTTTTGAAACAAATTCAATACGAATTGACTGATTTTATTGAAAAAAAAGTGAAATATAGATTGTTTGAATTAACTAGCAATGATTTAAATAATGAAGAAAATTTCTACAGTTCGTCTTATCAAGCATTGGATCAAAAATTAAAACACATTATTGAAAAAACTATAAAGAAAAATATGGAAAGTTCATTTAAATCATTTGAATTTTCTAATAGCCAATCTAGAACCGTTTCAGCAGAATTTGCTAAATCAGCAATGGTATCAGAGAAATTTCAACCTACTGTTATATTAAAGGCTTTAGATTTTGTTGAGGAAAGTAAATTTCATAATATTAATAATTTACACATTCTCAATAAACGTAAACCTATAAACAAAATGAACAATCCTTATGAAATTTTACATCATAAAAGAAAAAGAGTGCCATCTAAAAAATACAATGATTACAATACATCTACTATGGATTCGGATTCCAATGAATCTGGAGAAATAATTCCGCGTAAATTATCGTCTAATCCTAAAGTATATTCAGCATCTGTTAAAAAAGATGTTGAAAAACAAAGACTTCAAAAAATTTCAGAACATAATATCTTAACAACATCAACATCCGTTGCCAAAAAATCAACAGTTGCATTACGACAAAATATTGAAAATCGTAACAATTCAACTAATATCAATTCGATGATAACAAATACAAGACACACTTGCGGTGTATGTAATTTATCTTTCAATAATCGTTCAGAGATCGAGATACATATGAAATTGCATAAAGTTGACAATACTGTTTCACGACCGAACAAACATAAAATGATGCGTTGTAAAAGATGTCATGAAATTGTTGAAGCTAGATTTGTTAAATCGCATGTATGTCGTTCAATGAAGCAAATGCATAAATGTTACATATGTAATTTTGTATTTAGAACAGAAAAGTCATTAGCAAATCATTTAGAAAGTCACGATCAATCTGAATTTAATATTGAAAATGTAACTAAAGTTGATTCTAAAAAATTATCAGATACCAATAATCGAAACGCTTCAGTACTTGGTACTGCAGTTAAAGATCAAATTAAAAAATCAGTTGTAGGTACTAATGTTAAAACAGTAGAAAATACTACTGCATTAGAAAATATGATTATTTCTAAAGGTGCAAAATTAGATGGAGTTAAAGGTATTGAAAAACCTAAAAATACTTATACTTGTTTTGTATGTGATAAACTTTTTACGGATGAGGAAGTATTGAAAGATCATTTAGAAAAACATTGTGAAGAGATGAGCGAAGATGAACATAGTACAGGAAAAGAACAATATCAATGTGCAATTTGTGGCGCATCTATGGAATCTGAGGATGCACTTGAGGTACACGTAGAAAAACATCTTTTCGATGACGAAGACGACAATCCTAATCTTATTACGATAGGAGCTGAGAATGATAAAATTAAAGAATCGTCTTATCAATGTTCACAATGTTCAGAAACATTTAATTCAGAAATATTATTAGAAATACATGTGCAAGGACACGCGGAAGAATCTGCAATAGAAGAATGGGAGAAACAAGGAATGAAGGCATACGAATATCAATGTATGATTTGTGATGAATTATTTGAGACTGAAGAAGAATTGTCTGAACATTTGGATGTACATAATAGCAATGCTCATGTATGTCAATTATGCGAAAAACCATTTTCAACGCTTTTAGATTTACAACAACATGTTGCAACTCACTGATATAAATATGCATCTATACTTTTGATATAATTATAATAATTGTTATATATTAATGTTAATCTAATATAATGGCATACGATTAAAAAGTTACATGGGTTTTCTTTTTTTTTCTTATGTAAAATTATGTAATGAAGATTATTGTTAATATAAATGGATAAGAAGTTAAAGAAACATAGAATACAGAATTGCATATATATACACATGCATTCATACACTTTTACGATTATTTTCCTGAAAATATCTGTTAAGTATATGATTAATAATATAGTTATTTAATTTTCATGTACATGTTTTATAATATATATATATATATATATATACATATATATACTTTTTGATTTAACAAAGTCTTACTTTAGGATATAACTTTTTTGAATTTGAGATAATAATTTATGTCATATCAATAATTCAAAGAACTTAGAATTTAAGTGATATTAGAATATAATTTATAGTACTTTTGTACTATTAAAATAAACTATATATATATATACGAATATAGATTTTAGTAAATTTAATATTTGTATGTAAAGAGTTTCTGTAAATATATATGCATAGTAAAACTTATGTTTTGATTTTTCAAATTAAAGTTGTTATTATTATTAAAAGTAGAAATAAATGTGTGTGGTCATGTTTATAAAATAAAATATAAAAGAGAATTAAATGTTCATTTATTTTTAAATAAACATATTTAAAATAACACATTTAAAACTAACATTTTTTAAATTAATATTTATACAAACGAATGTAATCATTATTATCTGAATAGAATAATTATTAAAATACAGTTCAAACTTTTTCTTATAAATACGACTACGTATAATTAATTATATGTGTAATGTAAATTTTAAAGATATTTTTTAAATAATTAAATAATTACGAAGGAAGAAGAGGAAAAAAAAACATAAAAAATAAAAGGTGTTGTATACTATATATTTTTTTTTTTTAAATTGCTATTTTAATATAAATCGTTGATATTAATATTAGGAAAATATATAATAAAAAGAACAAAAAAAAAAAAAACAAAACAAAAAATTTAGAAAAATTATAATATTACAGTCAACAATGTAGAATTTGCTCGTGCATCTTTTTACAGAATTATTTTCCCCCGAAATAACAGCGTTATTAAAAATATAGTGTATATATTTTATACATAGGACATTTATTAGATATACATAGTAAATTTTTATACAGAAGGTAAATTCTACATAACAATATTTATGAAGTTTTAGTTTTTCGGATATTCTTCATATAGACATGATTTTTTTTCTTTTTTTTTCTTTTTTTTTTTTAAAGGATTAAAAAGTAATTGATTATAATAATCAGTCGTAGGCTGAATTGAAAACCTTACTATATTATTCTACTTTATTTACATAAATATTGTGTACAAGGACACGCATGTTTTTTTTTTTTTTATTTATAATTAACTTTTCTCGTTTTTTCTTTTTTTTCTTTTATTATAACATACATCGTATATCATCTTCTGGTTATTATTTGTTTAATTAAGAATTTTTATAAATTATTATAATAATTATAATACGCGCGTACTTTTAATCAAAATCCATTTTTTCTACTAGTATTTTGAAATATTTTCAACAAAATGAACAATTCATTCAAGAACTGAACACTCGTTCAATTTCATCGTAACTCAATAAATTATATTTTATACATGCTTTTTATGTATTTTATGAAAATTAATTATTTTTTTGTTTTTCTTTTACTTTTTTTTTCTTTTTGTTAAACATTTATAAAATATTCCAATGTAATTGTCAAAAAAGTAAACAAATCTAATAATGATTTTTTTTATAAAAGAAAAATGCATTATAATAGTTTATCTAACACATTGGTCCTTTATATAATGTCAAATAACTTATAAATATTATTTATATTTTACAATGAAGGACACATATGTGTGTTATAATTTGTTTCGCTTGTGCTTAAGTTTTAATTTTTGGATGAAAACACGTACGTTTAACGCGAAATATAAAATAATATAATATTTTGAAATGAAATCGTATATTTTTAAATAAAGAATATACACAATTTATATTTTCAGAAGTAGAAGTAGAAGAAGAAAAAGAAGAAGAAGAAAAAAAAAGAATACTTTGAAAATAATATTCTAGTCTTATTATTTTGTATATAAAAAGACATATTATATATGTACAAAGTATATCATGTATGTATATATATGAAAGTGAATAGTGGTGTGTATATGTGTATATGTTTTAAAGGTTTCATATTTAAATGCTTACAAATTTATGCAGAAAAAAAAAAATAAAAACTTAATGACCAATAATACGTATTTTAAATAGAACAATGCTAGTCATTGATTTCACGTTCTTTTTTTTTTTTTTTAAATAATATTTGAATAATAAAAGAATATTCTTGGGTCCCGAATTTTTGTTATTTAGTATGCATGTATGTATATATATATATATATTTATAATTTAAGTATATTTTTAAAGTATCCTAACATATACCTTGTGTCGCATTATACACTGTGACATTTGACCTAATAACTTGAATATTACTAAGTTCTTAATTCTATTATGTACAATGACACCATATAGATAAGTGTAAGGTTTCAAAGGTACGCTTTTCTTTTTGTTTCGTATTTTTTTTTTTTTTTTTTTTTTTAATAACAATAAATTAAATAAAAATTGTCTTCAGCCAAAAAGATTCTTCTTCTTCTTAATTGTAACAATAATAATAATAATGTGTTACAAAATGAATGAACTGTACATCATTTAATCGAAGATCTAAGAAGATTTGCATACAATGTTATTCGTATAATTATTTTGTAATTGTTAATACTAACAATGAATTTTACTAACTTATTTAACCTATCTAAACAAAAAGATTGATTAGTTGCAATTAAAAGATGTTGTGTTGGTTGGTTATTTCTCTTCTTATTTATTCTCTTTCTCTTTTTTTCTGAGATCTTTTATCCAAAGAACTCATATATATTCATTTAACTATCTTTGATATAAAAAACAGAAGAAAAAAAAAACAACAGTCACACGAGACTGTTCCTTACTTTTAATTTTATATTCACAGTTAATCGTGAAATTTTTCAAGTTTACGCAAACAATATATATATATATATATCATCGTGTCAGACACGAACAAAACATGGTAAATTTTCTTTTCTCTAACAAAAATAAACTTTTTCTTTTTTTTTTTTTGACGACATTGCATCATCGAAGAATAATAAAAACAATAAGATAACTAGATTTTGTTTCTTCGTTTTTTTTTCTTTCTTTTTTTTTTTTTTAATTAATGTTTACTCACTTTTAAGTAACCAAGAAAGGAAGTTTGTTTAAAAAATGTCAATTTTCATAAACTATTGAGATAATAATTCTACGTAATTCGCAGGATAAAGACCAACTCTACCATCTTTCCTTCCTTTACACCATCCCTGTTCGTCCTCGTCTTCCAATTTTTCAAATACATCACCTTTAATTAATAAACAAGTAAAATATAATATTAATAATGAAATATTAATAATTTTAAACACATGTAATATATACCTTGTTTAAAACTAAGTTCGTCAGCTTCTGCACCTTCGTAATTATACAAAGCTTTAACCGGAACACCTGGTTCTCCACTATCTACCAATGGTTCACCACCATCCTCGTCCCATTCTTCTTCCTCGAATGGATTAGATTCTTGTTTTGTATTGTTAGTACCATTCCTAAAAATTAAATCAATAAATATACAATATTACTTAATTAAATAATTATATTGTATTAACACTTTAATGGCCACTCACACAACATGTGTGTGATTAACCGGAACATTGGCCGTTATTTTATTTATAACTTTATATATATATATATTTAAAATTATATATAAAATTAAATTTGTATTGTTAAACTGTTGTTTTTTGTTTTATGTTAATTTTTTCGTGAATGACAATAAAGTTTTTTTTTAAATTAATTCCTGAAAAATATTATACCGGGTCCCTGACGACGTTTGACTGCATAGACGTGCGGCCATATTAAAATGTTAATAATTAAAATAAACTTACGTAATTGTAGAACTTCTATTAACGGCACTACTTTCGTGATTAATTTTTTCCGATGATTGTTTGCTCGAATTAATGGTATCTGTTTTATTATCATTGTGAAGTCCATCCGTTGATATAACACGACCGGCAGATTTTGACTTTGATTTATGATTGACTGGAGGGAATTCCTAGATTGAGGAAAAAATCAAAATAAATCAAATTTCAATTGATACATTTGTATTGATACTTAGCATAATATATATAATTGTGTATGCCTTCAATATAATTATATAAAAACAACATTTGCTTATGTATACGTGTATTTGTGCGTACGACCAAGTATTTAGCATATATTGAATAATCTTATTTCATTCATGTATATATATATAGCTCAAATGATAAATGTATATATTTACATAGTTATTGATTTTGAAAATTTCATCAATACAATGTGTAACAAAGATGTTAGAATGATTTAGAGTTATGATTGCAGCCCAATAATAATACAAAATGCATATATTTAAGAAAATGTTTTCTTATATAAAGTTATGTAACATGTATATACAAAAGTATATGATATATATATAAATATATAAGAGAATTGACACGGAGATATTAATTAAAAATGAATGAATATCTTATAATATAATAAACAATTAAAGCATAATTTATAACAATATATAAAATTAGAGATGACTTTAATTCAGATTTTCAGTTAAACAATTAAACTTAAATTTGAAGAAATTTGTTTGTGACATTAAATCTGTTTATATTAAAATCATCTCTACATCATAAGATAATATTTAATACGCGTACCTGTGTGATCATTTTGAATAAAAAGTTACTTTTTTAATGAGTAGAAGCGTGAAGCGTATATTATAATTAGTTAATAACACTTACAATTAGTGAATGAAATTAGCGAGCAAATAAGCTTATAAATAGGAGATTATAAATAAAGCTTAATTATTGGTGAGAGATCTCATGCGCCATTGCCATCCACATTTTGTAACTTGCGATTAGCGCGTGTGTATATATGTCTGTGTGTGTGTATGTATTTTCTTTTCTTTTTTTCTTTAACATGAAAGATTTCGTGTCTTCGAATTTGCTTTCATTCCTCCGTTAAAGGCGAGGTTTTCAATGTGCATGTACTATATGTTAGATACTACACATATATATATATTTATATATATATTTGTAGATATCTCGTAATAGGAGTGTTAACAAAAAAAGACGCTAAAACGCTAGGGTTCTCATGTAAACTTAAACAAAACTTTACATGCAGATCCTCGCCGACCGGTCGTTGATTGATGAGAGTGATGGATCCAGCTGGAAGTGCCTCCTTTGACTTTGAACCCTTGGTGATGTCACGGAATTCCTCTGTGTAGTCCTGCATAATAATAGCAACGCCCAAACAATCACATGCATGCATTCCGGAAAGTCTTTATGGGGGTTTTTCTATCTAAGCTTAAAAGATCTCTTTTTGTCGTGTAGCTAATGTAAGATTTTGTTTTAATTAATTAGATCGATAGTAATATTATATTTATTATAATCAGTCATCAAAGTTTTTCTTTTTTCTCTTATTATACATTTCATTGAATTGTACCTATACATTTAATTCATCAACAAGGTAATTACAATTATATGATTTTCATATCAATAAATATCCTTAAGTTGCGAGAATTAAAAATTAGAAATAAATAATAATGTAATGAAAATGTTTTATATATTACTAAGGGTGTCCCGCCATGCGTTGTTGTGGCTCACAATCAGTCCGATACACACGTCTTTAAGTCAACGAATTACCTTATACCGTCATCTATTAGAATCTTATCGAACTAACAGAGATAATCATGACTCTTTGTTAATAAACAAATAATTGGCAATAAAATAATATTGCGATTATAAATTGAGATATAAACTATTCTATCTTTCAAGTTGAATGAAACTGCACACAGTGTGCAAAATTTGATTAAAATCGGTTCAATAGTTTAAGAGTCCATTGCGGACAAACAACGTGACACGTAATTTATATATATTAAAGAAGAAGATATGAAGATAACAAGACCAAAGTTATTAATCAGGTGTTCATATGATAGAAACAATTCTGTTATTTGTTACTTTAGTTTCTGTTAACACTTTGACATTTGCATTTAATGATAATGTATCTAATGATCAACATTTTTTCTTCCGATACTAGGACTTTTTTTTCTCAATAGTTTTGAACGTGACACCAAAGAGGTCTTATCAGCATTTGTTCAATAGTTTTCAGATGACACAAACTTATGGTTAGTGTCACCAGACGACATAGTGTTAATTAATCGAATATATGTATATATGTATGTACAATTCTATGAATGTATGAAAAGAAACTTTTTTTTGATCTGATTATAGTTCGTTGGGCTTTATCAAAGCACAAAGTTATACTCTCTCTCTCAACGTTATTGACCTTTAACATCAATGAAATTGTATGCATGTAATATAGGAGAATAACAGGTAATAAGCTTTTAACGACACAAATTATTAGTTTAAAAAACCAAAAACAAATATAAAAATTATAATAATAATATATCCATAATCATCAACGAGCATGAGATTATTTTTTTAAATATGAATTAAAAAATTATTTACAACGTTGCAGAGTTTATTGTTTTTCTTCTTTTTTTTTTTGAAAGCTGGTTGATGATTAAGAAAAATTTCAAATTTTTTAATTAAAAAAGAAAAAAAAAAAAAAGGATGTGAAATATTTAAACGAAAATTATTATTTCGTTAAGCTTGCAAAAGAATTTGGACATAAGCATATTTTAATAGCATAATTTCAATTTCATATGTCGACACACAAATTGATATACGATTATTAAAACATTTATAAAATGAAACAACGATGATAGGTCGTTAGACGTTTATCGAGAGCAATATTGTTATTTTAATTTCTGCCCTGTTTTATTTATTTCTTTTTTCAGAAAAATTCAATTCGAGATCAATTACAATATATTTAACATTTATCAAAAAAAAAAAAAAAAAAGGAGAGAGAAATATAAAAAATTAATAGAAACATGGATCGTAAACAAATTCTTTTGTCGACAAATGGATCATTCAATCGTTAATACAAAATATAATTAGGAATAATAAAAATCTTTTGAAACTAGTTATAAAATAAACGATCATATGTATAAAGAAGAGTAATAGGAGTAATGTATACATATATACATATGTATATTTATTATGTGATATATATATATATAAATATAAATATAAATATACATATATATATATATTTAAAACCCACGCTACTGCTATGCGTTCTCTAATGGCAGATTTCCAATTACGAGCAGAAATTTGCATGCATTAGTGTTTGGTATTTTTTTTTCTTTTATTTTTTTTTTAATTTTTTTTTTTATATATAATAAATATATATTTTAATCAATAAATTACCTCAAACTGTGGCCAATTCATAGCCATGTTTACACCATGATTATTAGACCACCATTTAAGATCTTTTTCATGATCTGCGTTATTAATCGTATGATAAAATTCTTCATAAATTTGTGGAAGCCTAAAATAACAAGAAACAAATCAAATCAAATCAAATCAAATGAGATGAAACAAAAAAGAAAAATAATAAAATATAACAATGAATTATACTTACACTGGATCCTGGGATATATTGAGGCACTTGTGAATACCAAAAAGAACTTCTTTGAAGAATTGAAGTCGTTGGGCCTCCATTTCTTGACATTTATCAAAAACTTGTGACATATCCTCCATGTATTTAGGATTATATTGATTTATTTCTTGAAGAGCTGCTTCATATTTTTCTTTTGCCTTTTGTACTTCTTCTTTCGTCTTCTGAACCCTGTCTTGCATTTTCTTTACCTGTATCAAATCAAAATATAATAAATGGTTTTTTGTTTATTTTTTTTCAAACTGATGTAACAATAACGAGGTATTTTTTTTTTTGTAGCTTTTGAGATAAATTGAAGGTAAAGATTATTCAGCAGAGAAATTTATATGCAGTTTTTAAGAATTTATATTCAGTTCTTCTTCAGCAGTTACTTATATTAGTGCATGTTGTGGGGGGAACATGGATAAATAATATTTTAATATATTAATAAATCATTGTTATATCAAATAAAATTGATCTTTATGCAATGTATTGCTGACTGTTATTAATTCTTTACCTTCTAATTTATTTTCTTATCGTAAACAAAGCTGTAACAATAATGCCTTTGGGGGAATTATCAACTTAGAAAGTTTTTTCAGTGAATCTCTAAAGTTTGAACTATTACGAGTGCTAGCGAAATTTAAAAGATCATTTAATTAAGAACATTATCGTTCGTAATAGAATATAATATAATATACAAGGTGTCTTGTAATTATTCATATAAGCAAACAGGTGGTAAAGAACACGTGTACTTAACAAATTATTAAACTTACTTGTACCCCAATTCACAAAATAAAACACCAAGCTCTATATGAGCAAATTGTATTCTACATTTTTAATATAAATTTATTGTTGGTATTATAATATATTTATATAAAATCAAATTAGCCATTCCTGTGATTTATACAGTTACAGGACACCCTGTATATATAACGTATATATCATAAAATTGCTAACTCAATATTAAAACAGTGACATTAATATAAGTATACCGGAATACTCATTATTCAACTATTACGTTTATTAAATATATGTGCATAATTTGTGCAATTAGCTAGAATTAAAAGTGAACAGAGCAACCATATAAGATAATAAAAGTGAATAAAAGAAAATGAAAAGGAAAAAAAAAAATCAATAAATTGAAAAGGATCATCGAATTTATTTCAAGATTATTAAAGTAAGGTATAGAGAGAATTTAATTATAAAGAGGCGCAAAAATAAACCAAAAAATATAAAAAAAAGGTATAAAAAATAATACACGCATACCGCAATACATTCCTTGGATTCGATTAGGTATTAAAATATATTTGTATGGGTAGATATTAAAGAAGATATTCGATTAAATGAGGAATCTAACTAACATAAGCGAATAATACATGGGTAAAAAGGTATTTCGATAATCGATATTGCTCACCAGTACGGCTTTCTGTAATGAGAGAGAAGAGAGAAGAGAAAGAGAGAGAGAGAGAGAGAAAAAAAAACAAGAGAAACATGGATTAATAATCATGCTGCATGCAACATCATATACATACAAGCTGAACGTCCCCTATTTTAGAATTCCTAAGGCACTCTCGTATTCTGAGGCCCCATGCATCACCACATCCACACTCAGTCATCTAAAATAGTTGTTAGCTATTTTTTTCAAAGTGTCCAACCCACTTTTCTAAATTTATTTTCCAATGTTTTCTAAATCGTCAACCATCTTTAATTAGCAAGTATTGAAACAATTTTTCATTTCTTTTCTTTTTTTTTTTCTTATATAAATAATCTAAAAGAGAAACACGTTATGGTTGCAATGCAAGTTCGGTGGATGGATTTTCTTTTTCTTTTTTTTTTTTTTTTTTGGTGCATGCTGAACGTAATTTAAATAAAATGCAATATTTTGCTAAAAAAAAAAAAAATGTATCTACTTTCATTTAGTAAAAATAATTGTTTATATAAAATTTCTAGATCTCAATAAAATTGGATCAGGATTGGGACACAACACTCATCGCATTTAAATACTTGAATGATATATTGTTTATAACAATTAAAAACGATATTGAACAAGATTGCAAAAATATCGAATAAAATACAAAATGTGGCTCATGCAAATCTGTTAATAAGAGATTTGTTAACATACGTTTTCAGAGCCTCGTGCCATCTGAAAATAATTTATTGCTAAAGAGAAAGAACAATCGAGACTACTTGTAAATATAAATAATATTCACACGTGTGTGCATAATAGTGATGCACGTTGCTAGTCAATATAAACACACTCGTATGCATGTGAAAAATGGAAAGAAAAAAAAAAAATTAATGTTTTTTATATAAAATATTAATAATTCGATTTGAACGATCATTATTGTAATCGTTAAATAAACAATTTTTTTTTTGTTATTTAACAACGTGTTTATCGTGTATTCATTATTTCAATGCGGGTACCCTCCTTTTCTTGGTTGTAAAATAAATCAACGATAATATGAATTATTATCCCTTGAAATTAAATGGATTCGTTTACCATTCATATCTTTTTTACCTTTGTATTAATTAACTCATATTAATGGGTAGAAGATTGTTTTATATCAATGATTTAGATTCTTTGATCCTTTTAAAAATGAACAGACATGGTCAAGGTGACGTTTAATATGCAAAATGATTCATTTTAAACTGTGCTATTTAAATTAATTCTTAATTATTGGGTTGGAAACTAAGTAATTGCCTATTTCAGTTATAAATGTCTCTCACTTCCATTTTTATTTTTTATTTTTATGTCATCCTAACCTAGCTTTACAAGTTCATTGCGTAGATATTTTCTTGAAGTTTTTTTTTTTTTACCTCCATATTAAAAAAAATCTTTTATTTTGTTGTACTTAGTTTCCAACCCAATATTTGTTAAACAAAGAAACAAATGTTTGTAATAAAAATTTTCGAGAAAGTAGAAACAATTTTTTGTACCAATTATTGGATTGTCCGGAAAGTTTGTGCCGATTTTGATGGAAAATTGAAATGTTTTGCAATTAAAATTTTGTTAGTTAGTGATATGTATTTATTAAATTATATATAAGTGTCATTCTGTTTCACAATCTTTCTTCATCTTTAAGAGTAATTTTAAAATCTTGTCTTTCCAGAACTTTTCAGGTTTTTTTTTTTTAGCAAAAGAACTTTAATACCATCTACCGGAAATTGGCACGAACTTTCCGGACAATCTAATCATTTTATTTTAAGAAAGAGATGGTCAAATATTAAACTTGTAATTAAAAATAGAATATTAAAAGTTAAATACATTTTTATACATTATAATAAATTCTTCTTTATTTTACAATTGCAGAATCTGATAATCTTTCAAGGTGAATTATTTCTTATCTCGATAAAGAAAAGAAAAAAATTAGAAAATAAAAAAAAAACAAAATGGCAGACAATCAATGACTAACATCTCGTAATTCTTTAGATATTACACAATTATTGTACTAAATATTTTTATTATATATTATACAAACAGTTTAGAAATAATTTATGTGGCACAGTTTATAGGTGAATCACACTTGAACATTAGACGTCGAAGAAAAAGTTATGTATATGTATGTATGTAAGTTATATGTATGTGTATATATATATATGTAATGACTCAACTACAATAGATAACGAGTTCTAGGTGTACAGTTGATCGTGACACGGAATATAGAAAAAAAAGGAAAATAAAAAAAGAGAAAAAAAAACCAAGAAGAATAGACAAGGACGAATATAATCGTAAGAACAAATTACCTGGTCTGGTGAAAGAGAACTATCAGCTGATGCATTCCTCTCCATGTTAGCCGCAGTTCGTTCAGTTTTGCAGCTGTTGTGATATTCTGCTTTGGCTTTCTCGACTTTTTGTAATAGTTTAGCCCAGGGTTTTTGGGCTTTTTTAAACGCATCTTCCATTTCCTTCCGCTCTTTAAGGGTCATCATCGACTGCAATACAACATCGGCGAGATATTACGAATAATAACGCATACCTACATGAAAATAAATCAATTGTAACTTTTGTTACCCCCTTTACTTCTTCTTTTCATTTTTTTTTTTTTTTTCAATGGATCGTTAATCCCGAATTATCATTGATCATTTAGAAAAACAGTTTCCAGGTATAAGACATTTTTTTTTTAGGTTATACAGGACCGGTTCAAGGATTACTCGTTGCATCTTTTATCATAGGTCTGATAAGTGTTTAGTTTTATTTTTATTTACATAATGTGATGCTTAATAAGAGGGTTATGGTGGGGGGTATTAAATAGGCAATATACAAATATCATAAACGAAGTAATACAATTTTTATGGGATAGGGTTTGTTAATATTGCGTCAAGGTTATTATTGAACGAATCTTTAGGGTATTATTAATATTATTTAACAATTAATAATTTTACTTTTATGATCGGGGTTTCCTAGTTCATTGTAATTGGAATCTTTTATTTTTATATTAATCCTAAAACCAGTCCTGAATTTTGAAAAATTTAGAAACAAACAATTACTTAATTTTTACCTTATGATAAGTATCCTTCTGCCATGTCTTCACTTGTTGAATAATATCATTGCAAAGGTTTTCCTTAACCCTGAGATGAAGATCACACAACCTATCAGACTCGACCAAAACACCTTTCCACGCAGCTTCCGTTGTCCCATACTCTGGACCCTTTTCAATCTTGTCGTTCCAATTTTTCGACCAATTTTTCAACGCCTTGGCGTAACTTTTTTCTATTTCTGCTCTTTCCTGAACCAATGCTATTAAACTATCACAAAGTTTGTGACCGTCCTCGATCCTTTTGGTGGTTCTCTTGTAATTTCCCGGCTCCCAAAATGAATCTGACGTTGCTATGAGCATGTTATCGTCGCTGTGGTGTGACATCCTAATCTAATTCGAGAAATTCCTCTCTCAACTGAAAAAGAAATATACATTTCAAATTATTATTTAAATCATTGTTATTAATTTTCATTTAATTTGATATAATTATAATATACAGAAGATCTTTGACATAACCTATTTGGCTTTAAACAATAACCCTAACAATCGTCAGAAAAATAGAGTTGGATTGAAACGACTATGGTTAGGACACATTGTAAAGCAAAAAAAGAAAATTAGGAGTCAGACCATAACTAAAATGGGTAGATGACATCAAACAGACAACTGGTAACTGATAATTGGCATCAAAAAGTAGACGAAATTTGAATAAATTATGTAAGATTTCCTACTTGTTTCAGAAGTAATCAAACAAAGTTTAGAAAAGAAGAAGAAGAAGAAGAATCATATGCATTTTTAAAGATCACTTGAAAGTTTTAGTAAAAAAATTTTTCATTACAAATCTTCACCATTAATATAAATTTGATTTTAACCTAATCGTACAATATTTGATTTAAATACGAAACGTGGAAACATATGAATGGCAAAGTAGTCTGGGAGGGATTGGGCTAGTAGGGGAATTTAAAATGATTTTATACGTCAATTGCATTTTTAATGAAATAAATTGTAGGAAATGATATTTGAAAGGTCGAGGATGAACGTCACTTGTCTATTTTTCTACAAATGTATATCCCTACGTATTTGAGCTGACTAGTATAGTCGACGTAATTGGATTATTAGTCGGTCTGGATCATCGATTGGCCCGATTTGCGAAGCCATTATAAATCTAACCTGTGTGGGTGGGTGTGTGTATTTCTCTCTCTCTCTCTCTCTTTTTTTCTCTCTTTCTCTTTAAAGAATTACGCTTTTTATTTTATATGTTTGAATTAATTCAGTTACGTGAATGCATTTTGTTTCAAACGAATATAACAATAATTAAATCTAACAATACATTTAATATGTGTAATAATATAATAAAAAATGTTTTCTTATTGTTAGTTACTTTCCAGAACATTTAAATAACCTATTTTATAAATAAAAAATAAGAAAAAAAAATATTAAATCATGTTGGTAAAAATTGTACGAGGAAAATAACTGGGACACCGCTGTTTAAATTATATATTTTACTGTATTGTATTATTTTATATTTAAATTATTATTATCTTTTGGTTTTTTTTTTTATGAAAGAATCGTGTTATTTAATTTATTAATATAAATATGAAACGATTTTTCATTAATGAAATCGTATTGGTCAAGAGATTATAAAGAAATGTGTTAAAGGATTTCTATTGGTCAAGAGATTATAAAGAAATGTGTTAAAGGATTTCTATTGGTCAAGAGATTATCAAGTGATGCATTAAAGGATTTCGATTGGTCAAGAGATTATTAAGTAATGTGTTAAAAGGATTTCTATTGGTCAAGAGATTATNTCAAGAGATTATCAAGTGATGCATTAAAGGATTTCGATTGGTCAAGAGATTATTAAGTAATGTGTTAAAAGGATTTCTATTGGTCAAGAGATTATAAAGTAATGTGTAAAAGGATTTCTATTGGTCAAGAGATTATAAAGTAATGTGTAAAAGGATTTCTATTGGTCAAGAGATTATTAAGTAATGTATTAAAGGAATTCTATTGGTCAAGAGATTCTTAAGATATGTTAAAAAAGTTTTTTGATGCTTTTAGTCAAAAAGTATAACAATATTTTGTAAAAATATAATAGAAAAGTCTTTTTGCGAATATTCACGAGAATAAAATCTAAGAATGTGACGATGGTCGTTGTCGTTTCTTGGATTATAGGTTATTTCTGAATATTGGAAAAAAGGAAGAATAAGAAAAGACGAAAAGAAGTAGAATGAATAAAAAGAAAAAGAAAAAGAAGTTGAAAAGTCATTCCCCTTTTCTTTCCCTTTCCACCCCCTTTTCCCCAATTCTCTCTGCTTTCAACTTCTGAGAAAGATAGGGTAATTTAAACTAAACTATCTAAACCCGTCGTCTGACCTCGTATTTGCTCTACTTCATCGATCTTTTATCATAAAATTCTACCTCGTTTCATCGTATTTCTTTCTTTTTCTTTTTTTCTCCATAACCTCAACCCTCATCCCTCTCTACTTCATTATTTTCTTGTTTTACAATCAGAGAAGAAAAATAAGAATATTCTTTGGTTACGTATTAGTGAAATAACCAGAGTAATCTTATTTCATTTATGTTCTTGTTACAATATTCAAGATGGAAGAAAAAATATATAGGATGTTTCAAAAATAGGGCTTCTCTCTCTCTCTCTCTCTCTCTTTTTGTTTTGTTTTATAAAACTTATAAATTATACATTGTAAATTACATCTACACAAAAAAAAAAAATATATTAATTTAAATTTATACATTGTATTGTCCTTGATCTAAAGTTATATTGTTTTATTTAAACTTGAAGCATCAAAAAAGTATCAAAAATATCAAAAGTATGAAAAATGAAGAATAATTTTGATTATAAATTTGAAATTAAAATATTTCCACCATTCACATTCATATAAACTTTTAAAATTACTTTCAATTCTAGGATTGTTTCATTGAAATTAAATAGAAACAATTACTATGGAAGTACTTCTCTGATGTATGCTGGTTAAGTAGGAAACACGAAAACGAATAGTAGTTTGATGACGATGTTAATCGGTTGACCTAATTAACGAGCTCATCGAATTATGGAGATAATTTAACACTTCGATGGTTAGAATCTTGCTTAATATGCTCTAATCACTTCTCTCGAAATTTCAAGTATGGTGCATCGACCTCTTTGGTATATAAGCACGTAATATCATCTATTTCTATACATATATATTTGCTGATTTATGCAAAAAATCGAAATGCATCTTATGTTTGAAAAATAACAGAAAGTTGTATACAAAATCTGAATAAAAAAAATAAAAAATCAAAAGAATTGTTTCACTTTTGCACATTAAAAATTTATACTCGATTTAATATTAAATATATTCAATTGGAAAAATTCGTAAAATTAATTATCAGGATGTTTAAAATAAAATCTGAGAAGGGGTGGTAATGGTGGTGATTGGATATGGTTCTCATTTCTTGATTTAACACTAGATATACCAGACCAGTCATTTTTACTGGTTACTTCATGTAACATTTGATTTCTGTAAATAATTAAGCGTTTTGTTATTTAAAAATGTCTATAAATCCATTTATGTATGAAAATTATTATTGTTAAACATTTTTGAAGTGAAAACTTCTTTAGAATGGGAGCGATGTGAAAAGTAAATAAACGGAAACGGAGCTATGTAACGAAGCTATGAAACGGTTGCCATACTAAATAATGAGAGAAAAAGAGACAAACATAGGATTTAGACTGTCGGACTTATCCGACGAGACCCTACGGACTTATCCGACGAGACCCTACGGACTTATCCGACGAGACCC